CCCGGCAGCAAGGGCGCGCTCGACCCGCTTCGGCACGACCCGCAAATTTGCCACCTCTTCCTGAAATCCTTCCGCAGCCACAAGTGCGACGTGCGGGTCGTCAGCGAAGCGCTGGGCCTCGACGTCGACTGGACTCGGCTGTGGCAGCTGCACCTGGGTCGGCGCGGCGGAGTGAGCAGTGATCACCACGCGGCAAAGGGCCACCCGAACAACCAGGCCCCCATGAAGCACAACAAACAGTGGTGGGCCGTCGCCCCACAGTAGCCTTTGCTGCCCCCCCTGCGGCATCGCACGCGCGGGGATCAGGTGCGTGGAGGGCGGTCACTGGCAGCAGCCCCGTTGCCGCCTTGCAAAACGCGGCCTGCGGAAGGGATGCCCCCCCCGCCCCCCCCCCCGGTGCTCGCCTCGTCTTTTCGGCGCCCCCAGCCAGCAATGCAGCGCTGTGAGCAGCGTCGGGGGCCCTTCCTGTCTGATGGGGCTCTCGCAGGCCCCCTTTCCTCCAAATCGTGCTCGTCGTCTCGGCGCCCACTGTCGCAGCTGCAGCGCTGTGAGTGGAGGCGGGGGCGCATGTACCCCCCCAGGAGGCGCCTCCGACGCTGGCGCATTCAGCGTTGATGAAAGTGCGAGATCTGCGGCTGTTGGCTGCGCCCCCTGTGCGATTGGAAGTGTGGACTCAGCGGCTGCGCTGTGAACGGACTGCGTGTCCCGCGGGTTCTCCTGTGGCCTGCATCCCGGCGCTGGGCTCCCAGGGGGGCCGCCGCTGGTCCCGGGTCCGCCCTCTGTGGCTCTGGTATTCCTGCATCCCGTTTCTGTCGGTCAGCGGCGACGGTGGCGCCGCCCTCTTCAGCCCGCGCGTGCCGGCGCACTGCCGGGATGTCCCTGCAGCTTGCCACCCTCCACCGCGCACTTGCGTTCAGCGGCTTTTGGCTGCGCCCCCCCCCCTGCAGGAGGCCGAGGAGGAACAACAATGGACCGTTGGACAAGGGGTGCAGTGCAGAAGTGTGGACTCAGCGGCTGCAGTGGGAACGGACTGCGTGTCCCGCGGGCTCTCCTGTGGCTTGCATCCTGGCGCCAGGCTCCTTGGGGGGCCGCCGCTGGTCTCGGGCCCGCCCTCTGTGGCTCTGGTGCTCCTGCATCCCGTTTCTGTCGGTCAGCGGTGGCGGTGGCACCGCCCTCCAGCGCGGTCCACATGCGCCGGCGCACTGCCAGGATGTCCCTGCAGCTTTCCACCCCCCACCGCGCAACTGTGTTCAGCGGCTTTTGGCTGCCCCCTCCCCGGCAGGAGGCGGGGGGGCAACAACAATGGACCGTTGGACAAGAGGTGCAGTGCAGAAGTGTGGGCTCAGCGGACGCAGTGGGGACGGACTGCGTGCCCCGCGGGCTTTCCTGTGGCTTGCGTCCTGGCGCCGGGCTCCCTAGGGGGCCGCCGCTGGTCCCGGGTCCGCTCTCTGTGGCTCTGGTACTCCTGCATCCCGTTTCTGTCGGCGAGCGGTGGCGGTGGCACCACCCTCTCCAGCGCGGTCCACATGTGCCGGCGCACTGCCGGGATCCCCGTCCTGATCGCAGTTCCGTTCACGCCTCCCTTCTCCCCCCGCAAGGGGTCTGGCCGTGAGCGCGATGCTCCGGCAGCAGGTTCCACCCAGCCCCCAGAGGCCGAGCATGAGGCCCCCGTAGGGAACCAAGAGGCGTCCGTGGACGAGGTATCTGAACAGAGTCAACACGTGTCCATGGAAGTGGACAGCGCTGGCCACCCACCAAGGGGGCAGGCAACCAGAGCCCCCCCTGCGGCGACGGGTGCCTCACCTCGGAGACCGCTAGGCGACGATGGAAGAGCGGGCTCCGAGCAGGCAGCGCTGTTCCCGAGGGCCGTCCTTCCCTCCTCCTCCTTAAATACATCGGTGACTGCGGCTTGCTCCTCTTGACCTGGATCAGTGTTCAGCGGCTTTTGGCTGCGCCACCATTATCCCCCTTCTCTTCCTCTCATTCACAACATCTCCGCGGCTTTTGGCTGCGCCCCCCCGATCAACAGCGTAGATTGCATCGGGCGCAGAAGAGCGTCCGCCCTGCAACCTGCCCAGGGAGCATCGGCCCCTCGCCGCCGACCCAGCCGCTGTTCTACTAAGTACGCCTTGGCACGTCAGCACGCAGCCAGCGAACGGCACAGCCCAGCAGCTCGGCAGATGACAGCCACCCGCATGCCCTGGCGTCGGAGGCACCCGGCTTCTGCATGGGCAGCGTGGCAGGTGTGGAGTGCGTGTGGCTGTCCTCCATACACATGGTGATTGGCTTCGTCAGTGAGCGGCCCCGCATCGAGTGGCACAGCCTTCCGCGGTCCAAGTTCGTTTCGCTCCTCTCGGCGCAGCCACAGCCCCAGCCCTCGCTGGGACATTGCAACGTTGTGCCACCGGACTGCGTGAGTTGGATATGATGTATGTGGACCGTCTACCTGCTGGCGGTTGTCAGCCTCGCGCACGCACGTCAGTGGTCTCTTATGGGGCGGTGCCCCGACACCCCTCATCGACGCCAGTGCTCAGCGGCTTTTGGCTGCGCCCCCCCTGCCTGTGGCTCGCCCTGGTCCGTCGCCGACGTGGCCATGGTTCTGTCTCGGCCCGCTGTCGGCGCGCCGCCTGCGAGCGGCGCGGCCCGGCAGCTCGGTAGCCGCCAGCCATCGTCACGCCACCGGCGCCGGGGTATTCAGCTTCCGCACGGGCAGCGTGGCAGGTGTGGTTTGGTGCAGCTGTCAGCCGCGCGCTTGGCGACGCCCGGTGTTTGGCTTCGTCAAGCGAGTGGCCCTGCATTGAGTGGTTCAGCCTTCTGCAGTTCGTGGTCGCTCTCTTCAGAGCAGCCCCGGCTACCAGCCCTTGTCAGTACTTTGCATCGTTGTGCCCCCGAACTGCGTGAGTCAGATACGATGTGCACGCGCTGGCTACCAGCTTGAGGTGGCTCAGCCTCGTGAGCGCACACCAGTGGTCTGTCTCTACTGGATGGCGCTCTGACGCGGATCGGCCACACCTTTGCAAGTGAGCGGCCCTGCGTTGAGTGGCTCAGCCGTCTGCAGTTCGTGGTCGCTCTCTTCCGAGCAGCCCCGGCGACCAGTCCTCGTCAGTACTTTGCATCGGTGTGCCCCCGAATTGCGTGAGTCGGAGACGATGTGCACGCACTGGCTACCGGCTGGAGGTGGCTCAGCCTCGTGAGCGCACACCAGTGGTCTTTCTCTACTGGATGGCGCTCTGACGCGGATCAGCCACACCTTAGCTCCAGTGAGCCTTGATGAGTCAGGCCTCTTTCGCCGCACCATCGTTCACCCAGGGTGCTGCAGTGAGTCTGAGTTAGTCGCTCGCGCTCGCACTCCCCCCCTCTCTTTTCTGAGGTCTAGGCCTGTCACTGGGTGCACGCACGTGGGCTTCGCTTGGTCATTGACCATTCGGACCCGCGCATGCGGCTTTACAGTGCCCTGCCGTCTCTCTTGGCCTCGCTTCCGAATGTGGTTCGGCTGGAGCTTAGCGCCGCAAGGGCGACTTCTCCCCCCCGTTCCGCTGCCAGTCGCCGCGCCTTTGCTTCCCCACTGCCGGGATGTCTGGGCCGGTCACCTGCCGACGCTGTCCTGCGTCTCAATGAGGGGCATTTTGTCCCTGGCATGTGCATTCGCCAGTGCGGCCAATTTACATCGTTCCGCGCCCCGGACGTTGTGCCCGCTCCTTGTCCCTCGCCTTGGAGCCGCGAGCCAAAAAGTATCCCCACCAGCTTGTCCTGCTCTGCTCCGCGCTAGGCAATAAGGCCCCCGCGCGGCCCGCTCGGACCTTACTCGCCGCTTGTGCTCTCGCCTGCGGCTGCTAACCAAAAAAGTGTCCCCACCAGCCCATCCAGAAACGCTGCCCATGCGAGCTGACAGGGGAGGAGGCACGCACAGCCAAACAGCGAGGGAGCCAGCTGGCCGAAGAGACGCGCATAGTCAAACAGCGAGGGAATGCTGATCCTCCTGGGGAGGTTCCGTCACCATCTCGAGCCGTCTTGGAGCGGTCTTGGGTCCTTTTGGAGGATCTTGGGAGCCAATTGGGCCATCTTGGGCTAACTTTAAGCCATGTTGGAGGTAATCTTGGGCTCTCTGAGGCCGTTCGGGGGCCTTTCGGTTGCCTCTTGAAGCTCTATTTTGGCCTCTTGGGGCGCTCGTGGGACCCTCCTGGGGGTCTCTTGGGAGCCTTTGGAGGCGGTCGGTCAAAAAAGGGGGGGGTACTCGATTTGCGTCCCCCCCCTCGGGGGCCACGATCCTGGTGGGGGGTGGCAGAAAATATGGCCCTCCCACTGGCCGAACAAGGAGCCTCCGACACCTCGCGGACCTTGCCGACAAGAAACCAGGGAAGGGAAGAGGGGTTGTGGAAGAGGAGAGAGACCCTCGTTAGACCACCTGTCGCCCAAAGGGCTGGTGGAATTTGGCGCACCCGTTTCACACGTTTCGTGGCCCCACGTGTGGTTTTCCCAATTGCTCCAGTGGCATGGTCCGCATGCCGCATCGCCCCCCCGCCTCCACTTTGGCACACCTCTCGCGCGCTTCGTGGCCGAGCTCCACCGACGTTCGGGAGCTCTCGAGCGAAGTGAACCCCACCCTCCCCTTCAGAAATCGTGGGGGGTAGGGGTAGGGTTTGCATGTGGCCCCCTACTGGGGGTCCACGTCGTGACGAGCTCATGGCGTCGGGGGCCCCGGGTGCGGGGCGGAGGTGGCGGAGGGCAGCGCCGACGGGGGGTCCGGCGGTGCCCCTCCGATCCCCTCTGGCCGACGCGGGCCTGGGAGTCACGTGGAGCTGGGACCCCCCGGCTGATCTCCCGAGCTCAGGCCTGACGGCTGCCCCCCTCATTGCTCCATTTGAGGCTGCCTCTACCCTCCACTGCTCGAGGCAACTCGCCCGGGCATCGCTTCTGGCCCTGCCCGTGGGGCTGCGCGCAGCGCCCAGGACACGGCGGCCTGCTGGCCTGCTCCCGCCGTGCTGCGAGAGCGGCCGACGATGCCGAGCAGCCTCGGGCTCGCGCTCCTCCCTGGGGAGCCGGGGAGCCGCTTCGTGGCCGGCCCGGGGTCGCGGCGTGGCCCTGGCGGCCCTGGCCCTCGGCAGGCTGCGTGCGTTGGCCGGCGCGCGCTCCCGGCGTCCGGCGCGGCCCGTCGGCTCTGCAGTCGCGCTCGCGTCCGCCAGTGCTACCAGCAGTTTGTTTTTGTTAATGCATGTTTTGTTTGTCGTCTATTGTTACCCGTATGCTCATTAGTATTACTGTTACTTTACTTGTTTAGTATGGTAATTGTATCTATATATATATATATATATATATATATGTATATATACACACATATATTAAACAAAATACACGGAGGAGCGTTGACTGGCATCCGCCACAACAAAATATACACAGACACGCTCCAGTGGACTGTTCGCGGGCCTCAGGGGAGGGTGGCGGTGCATAAATCACCGCTGATTGACTGCCAACGACTTTATACACCGCCGCCCTGAAGGCGTGGCTCGAGCTAAACGGTGTTTTGGCGATTTCGTTGACAGTTTTTACCTAACAGCGTTTGCTGATAGGTTTCTAGTGGACTCAAAAGAGAGCATCTGATGACTCCACAGGGGGGTCTGGGCGGGTGCCGGGGAAAAGAACCGGGAACAGAACCGGGCTCGTTTTAAGCCAACAGTCACACACTTCGTGCTCTTCGACCTCCCAGAACTCCATTCCCGGGCCACATTTTGAATAACCGGAGCCAACTGTAGGCCACTTCGTGCTCTTCGACTTCCCAGAACTCCATTCCCGGGCCACATTTTGGATGCCCGGAGCCAACTGTAGGCCACTTCGTGCTCTTCGATTCCCAGAACTCCATTCCCGGGCCACATTTTGGATGCCCGGAGCCAACTGTAGGCCACTTCGTGCTCTTCGAGTTCCCAGAACTCCATTCCCGGGCCACATTTTGAATGCCCGGAGCCAACTGTAGGCCACTTCGTGGTCTTCGAGTTCCCAGAACTCCATTCCTGGGCATGATTTTGAATGCCCGGAGCCAACTGTAGGCCACTTCGTGTTCTTCGAGTTCCCAGAACTCCATTCCCGGGCCACATTTTGAATGCTGAGGCAGGCTGAGGCTGAGGCTGAGGCAGGCTGAGGCTGAGGCCGAGGCTGAAGGCAGACTGAGGCTGAGGCTGAAGCAGGCTGAGGCTGAGGCAGGCAGGCTGAGGCTGAGGCAGGCTGATGCTGAGGCAGGCTGAGGCTGAGGCTGAGGCTGATGCAGGCTGAGGCTGAGGCAGGCTGAGGCTGAGGCCGAGGCTGAAGGCAGACTGAGGCTGAGGCTGAGGCTGAGGCTGAGGCTGAGGCTGAGGCTGAGGCTGAGGCAGGCTGATGCTGAGGCAGGCTGAGGCTGAGGCTGAAGGCTGAGGCTGAGGCAGGCTGAGGCTGAGGCAGGCTGAGGCTGAAGGCAGACTGAGCTGAGGCTGAGCAGGCTGAGGCTGAGGCTGAGGCAGGCTGAGGCTGAGGCTGAGGCTGAGGCTGAGGCAGGCTGAGGCTGAGGCTGAGGCTGATGCAGGCTGAGGCTGAGGCAGGCTGAGGCTGAGGCCGAGGCTGAAGGCAGACTGAGGCTGAGGCTGAAGCAGGCTGAGGCTGAGGCTGAGGCAGGCTGAGGCTGAGGCTGAGGCAGGCTGATGCTGAGGCAGGCTGAGGCTGAGGCTGAGGCTGATGCAGGCTGAGGCTGAGGCTGAGGCTGAGGCAGGCTGACTGAGGCTGAGGCTGAAGCAGGCTGAGGCTGAGGCTGAGGCTGAGGCAGGCTGAGGGCAGGCTGAGGCTGAGGCTGAGGCAGGCTGAGGCTGAGGCTGTGACTGCGACTGCCGTTGCCACTGCGACTGTCATCGCGAATGCGACTACGACTGCGAGAACAGCAGAATTCTACAACTGGATTCTCATGCGAATCTTAAGGGGAATGCTTCCAGATATGCTCCTACACATCGCTGTTAGGTTGCTTTGCCGGGATAATATTTTGTTTTCGTTGCGCAGCAGAGGCAGAACGAAGGCAACACGAAGGAGTACGAAAACAAAACGAACACGAAACAGAGCGAAGGCATTTGACAACTCAACGAACACGAAAAACATTGTTCAGGTCGAGCCCTGCCTGAAGGTGTGTGCAGGGCGTCCGTGCGTAGATTGGGGCGTTCCGATAAGGGCCTTGCCTTCGAGGATCGAAGGAGTTGCCACCTGTTCCGCAGCGGAAGGTCGGCGGAAGGCGACGGAAGTAAAACGGCGGTGACTCCGCTGGTGGAAGTTGCCGGAAACAAGAGTCAGTCATGGCTACCTCTGTCCCTGTGCGCGTCCCCGTTTAGGGTCCACCTCATGATGTGGCCATACATGTCCTGCTCCGAGTTCGGCAGCGTTCTGTTAGACCCCACACGAAGCGTAAGTTTGAGCGAGCTTGGGCCCAGTGCTATGAGAAAAGGAAGCAAGAGTCTACCACCCAAGAGGTGACAACATTTTTGGTGTCAGGGTCTCCGAGATCCGCCATATGTTCGCGGCGTAAGGCATGTCGCGGTGGGCGCCCGCCGCCGCCTCGTCGCCGCGGCGTGCGCGGGCACCTGCCGGGTCCGACCGAGCGCTGGGCGCGGCCCGCCCCCCGCCTCGCCGCAGCCTCTCGTGCGCAGGGGCCGCCCTGCGTGCGCAGGGCAGCCGGTTGTGGCGCGCTGCATCCCGCAACGTCGTCGTCGTCGTCGTCGTCGTCGTCGTTGTCGTGGTTGCGCACGGGGCGCCCTTCCATGTGCGCAGGGCAGCCGGTTGTGGTACGTTGCGCCCCGCATGATAAGGATGAGCATTTTTCCAAGGCTACCCTTGCATCCTTGTCCCTCCGGCCCATCCTTGGCCGGTTTCGCTGGCCGCGCCTCGCTCGCAGAGGGTCGACACGGCCGTCCATTGCCCTTGCATCTTTATCGCGCGTCCTTCTTCTACCGTTTGGCTTACGTTGCACCCCTCAAGTGCGGATATGAGTGAGGGGGCGGGCGCGGGACGAATCGCTTGTGGGTCGCGGGTGAGTTGCGGGTGAGTCGCGAGGTGGGTCGCGGGGTGGGTCGCGGGCGGGCCGCGGGCGGGCCGCGGGGGGGGGGGCGAGAACAACAACAAGCAGAATCCGCGCCACAGGATCCCACTTCACCCACGCACCCATGGGGCAAGACCGTTTGGTCCTCATCAGTTGGTGTATATGTGGCCAACAATCACAGCGTAACCGCGGGGCATCCAGGAGCAACGACAAGCGACGACCCCTGCGTCCATGTAGCTGCCGGGATTTCTGTTAAAATGGGTGTGTGTGGTGCTGAGGCGAGATCCGAGGCTGAGATTCTTCCAGATCCAGAACCTGGAAACCGATCTTCCTGGGACCTGGGGGCGGCGGGCGGTGGATGTGGACACATACCCCCAGGGCCCAAGCAGGTCATCGAGAGAGCACAACAGAGCGCCAAGACCGCCCAAGAAGGCCCCCAACGCGCCCCAACAAGCGTCAAGACAGCCCAAGAGGTCCAAGTAATCCCCTTCAGAGGCCCCCTACAAACAAGCAGCAGTCGGAGCTCGCATCAAATTTCAGACCCCACTAGCTTCAGATGGCTTTTTAGATGGCGGGCGGGCCTCTGAGAAGCCCTCCTCCCTCCTTGGAGGGCAGATCACGCTGGCGAAGTCCAGCGTGTGTGGCGCTGCAGTGCCCTTTCCGTGGACAGAGAAGCTGGTGGCCCACATGGGCTCCAGGTGAGACTCAGGGACGTATCAGGAACGGGGTATGGGCAGGCGAGTCTTGCCCTGGCGCCCATGATCCCGAGCGGTCGTTTCCGCTCCTTCCGACACCCTTGCCCGCCTTAGTCTCGGCATTTCTATGTTTTTTGCTGTTCGGTCGAGGACAAGAGGCGGCAGCCTCTGCGTACATTTTTACAGAGGGCTCCATCCCAAAGAGAAAGGAGTATTTTTTCTGTCTGGCACTTCTAGTGTGTGTATAGTCATGCGGCGGAGTCTCCCTCCCTCTACATGTCTCCTCTGAAGATGCTTCTTTTTACTTGTCTCCCTCTCTCTGCCTCGTCTCCTATGCTTGAGCTAGAACTTTTAGTGTATTCAGGTTATGTTGACACTTCAGTGTGGTCTGGCTCATTCGCAGCGAGGCACGTAGAAAAAAGGGATTGGTGGTGTTCTGTGTCTCCATCGTCCTCCCTGTGCGGGTCGCCAGCGAGTCTTAGCGTCTCCACGTCCGTGCGGCCCCTCCCTCCTCAGAGGGCCGCCTACCTTTCAGTCGGGCGCGTCTCTCTACAGGAGGCATGTGGAAGAACAGTCAAAACATAGTCTGGTTACTATTCTGTTTTTTGACTACCTTCACGTTGCTTCAAAAGCCCAGCCGGTAGGATGACATGCCCGACCTGAGTCTACCTCTCTCTTCCCCCCTTCGGGCGACGCCAACCGATCACCTCGCCCATCCTGCCCGGGCCCAGGATGAGCCTGGCGAGCATCGGTGCGGCGGGCAGGCGAGCGACGCAGCAGCGGGACCGCCTGCACGGACTCTTCCGCCTGAGCCGGGCCTGCGCAAGGCCGCGCGTCGGCGCCTTCGTCTCCAGCGTGGCGTGCCGCGCTGGCGGCCCGCGCTTGCCGCTGCAGAAGGCCGCTGCGCCATCTCGCGCAAGGCCCGTGCCTCCTGGTCGCTCGGCCGACGTCGTCCGACACGAACGGCCCAGAGGCGGCAGAGGGCGAAGCCCCTCGGGCACGTGAAGGGGAGGGAGGAGGAGGAGGAGGAGGAGGAGGAGGAGGAGGAGGAGGAGGAGGAGGTGACGAGATGAGATGAGACCAGTCGCGAAGCGAGTCTATATCCAATTCGAACCCCCGAGCCGCCTTCTCAGCCTTGCTGAGAACTTTGGGCCAAAGGTTCCTGGAGATACGGTCCAGATGCACCCGCCGAGTCCTGATGATCGAGACGGGAGGGACCTTACGGGCAGGACGCAAATCCGCCAGGCCACGCAATTGATGGTGGCCATAACATCCACAGGCTTTGAATAACCATAATTGCAGGTTGCTATGCTATAATATAAAGAGGGAGACATGGACCACACCCCCAGCGAGATGTAAAACGCGACCCAGAGGCAATTTAGAAAGCACAGTCGACACATTCAGAAGGTTGTAACATACAGTGGACATCACTTTAGCTCTGCGCGCTTCTGAGGTAGAGCCCATGCACCTGGAGCATTTCTTCCCGCACTCGAGCAGAGCATGCTGGGAATTGAACAGAGCCACGGCCACAGGGGGCGGGGGATGATGAGCAGCAGCAGCAGCAGCAGCAGCAGCAGCAGCAGGGCGCCGTTGCTTTTTCCCCTCAACCTTAATCGCCTCCAACGTGGTTCTGAGTAACCGTTCCCTGATCAACCTAACATCGGCCTCGACCTGGAGCAGACGGGTACGCTGCGCACTCGGGACACCGAAACCTGTAGCAGCAACCCCTGTCAGGTGATCCACGAACGTATTGCCAGCAACAAGGGGTCCTGACAAGTTGCGCGGAACAACTTCATCGGCCTCGAAGTGGGATGGGACCTGGAGCGCAGCAAGGTCACCAGGATGACGATCCGTCGCCTGAATGATTTCTCCAAGTTTCCGCCACAAGTCGGCGTTTGGCCCCCTCGGGGCCAGGAGAAGATCGGCCCACAAACCACGACAAACTTCTTCGCTGTCCGTGGCGAACGCCATTGGGCTCCTGGACTGGGCCACAACACACACTAAACCAAACAGCTCACCCCTGGGGACGGACTGGTACCGACCAGGCAGTGGACCATACATAAACCTGACGTCCGACTCTCGGGTCTGCAGTGGGCTACTAGACACTGTCACCCCAACTCTTCGGAGCCTGAGGTCATGGGTATCCCTACCCCCAGACGGGTCGCCAAAGAGGAGGAGGGGGAGGAGAGGCGTGCCTATTCCGAAATAAGGGTCCAGGCATTCATCATTCGGATGGCTCCTGACCCGAAATTCTTGGTCAGACGGGAGGTCGGCACACATCATGTCGTTGGGTATTAACCCCCTGAGCCAGTAGCATTCACAAGTATTAACTTGGGCAATGGCCTGGGCAACTAGCTTGTCAGAGGCAGCGCCGACAGGTGAATCACGATTGCAATATCACTCCCATACGCGGTGGAGGGGGGTCTCCAGAGCCTTACCGCATCCCCTACACACAACAGGGGCCTCGATGCCGACCGCCCTTTTTTCCTGTCATCCGTCCAAGCTCCTCCGACAGCGATCGTCATCATCAGCTCGCTGAGTTGGCGCCCATGTCCAGGGGTGGTTCGAGCTGGTACAGATACCGTCGCACACTGAACTTGTCAATGCCATTCTCCATTCCACCTCCGCAGTGAGATGAACGAGCAGCCCCCTTCCATAGGCGGTCCTGCAGTGACTGGGCGAACCTGTCAATCAAGCCCCGCGCCTGGTCGAACGCGCGCAACTCCCCAGATTCGAAGCACCAACCGTCCTCCGTCGTACTTTCCTCGCACGGTGGGAACTTGCACAGCGGATGCCCACACTTGAGAGATAGGACCTCGGATGCGTGGACACTTCAACCAACATCGTATCCATTGCTCCAGGCACTGCCGCGGGAGGGCGTAGCCTGGGTCGGCCCCAGGCGCCCTCAGGTCCAGCAGCGTCGTCAAGCAACGCCCTCGGCGATGCCCTCAAACTGCGCCCAGTCGCCGCCGCAGGTCCAGCAATGTGGTGGTGGGCAGCCCAAGAACTTGATGCCCATAGCGCGCCCCCGCTTAGGGGGCCCGCCAACTCGATCTTCCTCATTGCCCGAAACCTGCGCGAAGCACTAGCTGACCTCCTCAACGTGACATGCTGCCTCTTGGTGTTGGTCATGCGCTGGATCCCAGTGGACCTGGGCAAGCGCTTCCCACAGCTCAGATCGACACCTAGGTAGGTCAACATCTGGACACACTGCACCTTAACTCCACGACGACGCAACTCCCGCACAACGGCTTTGGCGTCCTGTAGGGATGAGCACGTGATGGCGCTCTTGGGTGCCAACTGCAATTCCACACGCTCGGGCATGTCATGTACAGCTGTGACCCCCTCGGCGAGGGATTCGCGACCGAATTGACTCGATCCAACCACCGTCTGAGGCAAATCGTCGATCCACACGCGCTCCGATAATGCTGGGTGGGCCACCGTCAGGCGCTCCATGACCAGACTGGTGACGCAACGCGCGAAGCGCGTGCGGGAGCGCAAGCCACGTAGGATGCTCCTCGTGGTCTGGAATGGCAGCGACGCCGCGTCGCCTTGATCCAGCATCCTCGGAGCAGCACACATCTGAAGTTCTAAGCCCAACATCACAGCTGGAAATCCATATCTGAAGGCACCCTTGACCAAGGTACTCCACTCCATCATGTCGTAGAAGCTCTGGATGTCGTCCAGGGCGTGGCCGTTCGACATCTTGTGCCCGTTGTAAAGCTCGTCGTCCAAGGCTTGCGTGAAAGCCTCCTTGAGAGACGAGTTCCCTCTGACGGCAGCGTCCCAGGCTGGAGCGTCAGCCTGACACCATGCTTGGACAATCGGTTCTCGCGCCATCGACCATACTCTACACATCGCACATGTCAGGCCGATCACTCGATACTGCCCCTCCGTCTTCTTGGGCAACAGTCTGCCTAGTACACCCATCAATATTGCCACGGCCAAGTCTGGCACTCCTCGAACATGTTGAACAATTGCGCCAATTCAGCCAATGCTTCGTCGGGCAGTCGCTCCAAGTCGAGCGGTGACAAACAGTCGATCCCTTGCCGCGCCCGCGCCTTCATGGCGCGGAGCACACGACGGAGATCGTCCGCGTCCAGGGGGGCCAGGGGCTCCACGGGCGCGTGGCTGTGGACGCAATCGAAGATCTTCCGAACCTCGCACCTGCTTCTGGTTTCCTTGGAAGTCCACAGCTCCTGCCAATGGGCCGCTCGGTGATCAACCAAGTCGCAGGGGTGATGCCGCATCTGGCCGCCCAAGTCTATATAGTTTGCCGACTGCAGCACCTCCTTGGACGCCCTGAACACAGCTCCTGTGGTGGAGTTGTCGGCACTCCAAGACCTGACCTCGGTCATGAAGGCTGACGCCGCACGATCCCGCGCCCTGCCCGCACCGGCAGCCGCTTCGATACGGACATTGTCCACCTGATCCCAAGGAATCTGAGCACGGTCCTGCAGGAGCTGCTGCCGCACCGTCCATGATGTAGAAGATGGTCTTGTTCCGGCGCACTTCTGAACTCCAGCAGGCGCTTGAGATCCTGACCCCGAGCCGGCCTGAGCTAGCTCCCGAAGCGGAGCAGCACCATTTTCCCTTCGTCCATGCTTGCTCATCTTACTTAGCACCGCATGTGCTCTCTCCCACCAGTTGGCAATCACGTCCTTGAACGGCATATCCCGATGGTGCTGGGAATGATGTACCCTCTCGATCCGCATGCGCGGACCGTCACAACGTGAAGGCTCCCCAGACTGGAAAAGTTCGTCCGTGCCCGCCTGCTCGTGATGCGCCGCCTCGACCGTCGCAATCCAAGCAGAACAGGCGCCGCTCACACTGAGGACGTGCGTTCTCCCCGCATGATATGAAAGCGAAACGCGGATGGGTGCCCAGACTCGATCAAGAGTGTGGATATGGAAGCCCGAGCGGGCTCGAGCCAAACGCCAGCGGTCGAGGGAGGGAGCAATGGCAGGGGCAGCGGAAGGAGTAGGAACGGTGGGAATACCACCGTGCGAGTCGGATTGACTTGCTGCCTCTTGTTTAGGGTCGTTCTCGCCAGGGTGGATCTCGACAGAGTCATTCTCGACTTCATTCGCGGCTGGAACTGGGTCGCACGAATTCATAGGAGCACCCCCTACACTGCGCGAGATCTGCTTCGAGACAAGCGCCCCAGGCTCCACCGCCGCACAGGAGAGAAGGGAGGAGGAGGAGACAGAGGAGGAACGGATGGGTTCTTCGAACTTGGGCTGTTCGGCCCAGGGATCCACCTCATCGTCCCCAACATCTACATGACATCCCGCCCAAAGCTTGGGTGCCTCTGGGAACACAAAACTACCACCTGGGCCATGGGCGGCAGGAACAACATCCTGACTAGCCTTCAGATCTTCCAGAAGATCCCCGAAGAACTGCTCAGCACGCTCCAATTGCTTTTCGCGCGCGCGAGACACTGGCGCACTGCCTGCGAACGACGCGCCTTGGACGACTTCGAGCCTGGGGTCTCCTGCTGTTGCGGGAGAGAGACCTGGGCTAGACGCAGGGGCAAGATAAGGGAACGGGTGATCAACTGTTCGCCCGCCCCTCGGACTTGCAAAACTAAACCACAGTGCGGCTTCCAAGGGGCATCCTGAATCGCTTGGAGCCCCAAGGCACATGGGGCGGCCGCTCTGAAAGCTAACGCATAATCAATGTGAGCCGCACCTTCGGACCGAACACAAGTGCTCTCGACAGGTGCCTGCAGCGCTGACGCCCCGATTTCGGAATTTAAGCCGACGCGCTGAAGCTCAGACGAGGGAGCGTTTAAATCACCCAAGACAACCCATGAGAGCTGTAGGGCCAATACAAGAGTGCCGATCCGAGCGAATCTAGCAAGGTTTTCCGCACGCATGCCGAGGCTACATCTGTCGTGCAAGACAACGTTCACTATGCTATAGCCATGACGATGGACCGCAACTTGCAAACAGCCATCCAACTGTTTCTGTCCATCGGCGCACAGCTCCTGGAAGCGACCGCCGCACAAGCCATGCACTTGCCTGGCCCTGAGATCAAAACATCTCTCCGCCCTCCGTCGCTCGGAGCTTGCCTGACTCAGTGCGACGCTGAGTCCCCGTAGCACGAGCAGCACTGGACAGAAATCTGAGTTTGTGCTGGCGAGCTAACTTGCTCCATCTATTGGTCCAAGGCGGTCCTGCATGCGTCTCGCATACAACATGCTGAGAGACATGACTGCCAGCAAGATGTATGTGTTAGTCCCACGCCTTCCGACCAAGATATGTAATGTTCGAGAAACATCTCTGAACCACCTCATAGTCCCTCGACGAAGAAGATGGCTGGGATGCAGCTGCAGCATCGCCCGCTGGCGTGCCGCTCGAACCAAGCTGAGGCTGCTCAGCTCCTGGCCTGCATGGCAGCCCCGTAGCTGCTGCCGCCGCTGTCGTACTCTCTGCCGTCGGCGAAGCGCGACCTCCGTCCTCACCAGCGTCGGCCGAGGTGGCTGCCGACTCAGGCGTGGCCCTGGCCCCTGCATCCCCTTGCTGTTGAGGACGGGGCGCTGCACGGGCCATGTGGCCTCGCGCGCTGGCGGCCGCCGCGCCGCCGCCGCGCCCGCCGCCCTTGGCCGCTGCCGCCTGGGCCGCCTGGGCCGCCTGGGCCGCCTGTGAGGCCTGGGCAGCGGTGGCGGCAGCCGCCTGCTCCGCGCCCGCTTTGGCGCTGCGGATGCGCGCGATCTCGGCGTCCACGCGCTCCTGGGCCGCCATCGGCGGCTCCTCCTCTGTCATGCCTACCGTCACGGGCTCCGTCGCCGTCGCCGTCCTGGCTGCACCCTCGCCTGCACCTGGCTCGCTCGCTGCCTGCGGCGCGCCGCCAGTGCCCTTGCACTTCTTGGCCATTCTCGTGGACAGCTCGTTCTTCAAGGTCTCCATGCGCGTGTGCCACTCACGCACCTGGCCGCCCTTCTGGCCGAGGTAGGACTTGGCCGCGATCAGGTCCTTCTCCAGCTGCAGCAGCTCCTGCTTCTCCGCATCCTCGCATTCAAGGGAGCCGTCCCGAAGTGAGTCGAAGAATGACTCGTCCCAGACAATATCGAAGCTGAGGTCCCCCGCTTCCTTGGCCATCCCTTTCTCGTGCGGGGCTGAGGCTGGCGTGGTGAGGCCAGCCTCGGCTGCCAAGGCCCTCACCGCCGTCCTCTTGGCCAGTTCTGCCTGCGCCAGCGTGCGGACCGCCTCCTGCTCCCGCTGCTGTGCCTGGGCCAGCTGCACCGCCGCGCGCTCCACGGCCTTGACCGCCGCGTCGTGCTTGTCGTTGGCGTTTCGCCAGGCCGCCTCCGCCTTGCGGTGCGCTTCCCCCGCTGAGACGGCCGCCTTCGGCACCTGGGGGGCCTGCTGAGCTAGCTCAGCCTGCAGTGCCGACTTGATCGCTGGATCTGACGCCACCTGCACAGCCTGCTGGAGGATGGCCATGGGGTCTGCGCCTGCAGCTGGCAAGCTGAGGTTCAGCTCGGCCTGTTCCTTCTTCTTGTGGAGCTCGAGCTTGGCCCCGCACTTGCACCTACAGTCCCGGGAGGAGGAGGAGGAGGAGGAGGAGGAGGAGGAGGAGGAGGAGGAGGAGGAGGTGCGTGCCGCCAGCAGATCTCGAGCCCTTCGCGCCTCCCCGACCGTGCAGCGCCCCCCCTCCTCCGCCGGCGTACCCCGCCACCGCTCCGCGAGGCGCTGGAGCGGCTGGCTGCGCCGCGGGCTCCGGCTGGTGCCGTCGTCGTCGTCGTCCTCGTCCTCGTCCTCGTCCTCGTCCTCGTCTTCGTCCTCGTCGTCGTGGTTGTCGTCCTCGTTCTCGTTGCCGCCGCCGTCGTCATCTTCGTATCGTCGTCGTCTTTGTCGCCTTCCTCGTCGTCCTCGGCGCTCATCCTGATCTCGTCGTCGTCGTCGTCCTCATCGCCGTCCTCCTCCTGCTTTCCCAATCCTCCTGGGGTCGCTGCGTCCCCCCTGGGTGATGCCTCCTGCTTTCGCTCCCTCGCGTTTCGGCCAGGCCCGCCGTCGCCCACGGGGCGAGAAAGGCTCCGTCTGGCGCCCGCCCGAGCTGGTCCTCCTCGTGCCGCACACCCCGTCTCGAGCTCCCCGGCCCCCCGCTTCTTTCTGCCACCACCCAGCGTGGCTACGGCAGGCTGGTGCCGTGTCGACGTGGCGGCGGCCCTGGCTCGGGCGTTCAAGGTTGAGCGCCGCAGGTGTCCCAGACGCAGCGAACGCGACAAGCTCTTGTCGGCAAGCCGCCGACGCCGATCGTTCGAGGCGGAGCTGTCTACACGGAGTCAGGAACCAGCGCTGAGGTTGTCACGACACCAACTCTCCACACAGCCATACCTCCTTCCCTGCTCACGTTCGGTTTCATTCTGGGTGCTTCGTGTTTCCTTGCGCGCTCATCCAGCGATCAGTACCTTGCTCCCTCTCTGCATGGTCTGACGCGTGCTGGCCTTGCCCGGTGTGGTCTCGTCTGGCCGCCTGGGGTATGATCCAGTGCAGTCGGGTGTGGCGTCGGTTGTGCCAGGCTGGTTTTGTCGGTGTTGTTTGATACGAAACTTTATCCCATGTGATCGTGGACATGGGTGTGTCCATTGTTAATATAAGGCAGCTCGGTTTCTCGAGTGATTTCTTCTCTTCCTCCTCGTCTTTGCACTCCTCATCGGCTGCCTTGTCTCCGCCGTCGCCGTCTTTACCATGATCTTGTACTCTCGCCTCGGCGTCCCTCTTCCTCCGCATCTCTTTCCGGCGCCTCCTCACTGGCTTCGCTCAGATGCTTCCGACGTGCCTGCATTCGGTGTGGGGAAGAGGTGCGGACGTGTGGCGGCCCACTTTCTTCTGGCCGTGGTCGGGTCTGACCTTTCGCGCTGTGGCCTTCTCTGTACTTACCTGAATGGTCTGGTCTGGCCTGGTCGGTTCTTGCGGTCCAGCCTGGTCTGCTCTGGTACGAGTCGGTACGAGATGGCGGTATGGTCTTGTGCGTCACGGGTGATTTGGCCCGCTGTGGTCAGACGGAGCAAGATGAGAGTGATGAGAGGAGATGGAGTAGGGTGGGGGCTTTCGTTAAGGAAGGGGCCCAGGAGGCTGCAGACCCTGTCGGATTCCTTATCCGATGAGCGCGACGGTGATGTCCATGGCCAAGCCTCAATTCGTGTCACACTGGCTTTCATACCCTGGATTCCTTAACGAAGGGATCCTTATCCAATGCCCTCACCGTAGCAAGATGATAATAGCTGGAGTACAGTCGGGCCGCTGAAGGAGGAACCCTTTTCGTTTGGGAGGGGCTCAGTGTTACTTGTTTTGCAGTCTGTCTTTTGGGTTTCTGTTTTCTTTGGGGAATCGAAGTTTCGCTTATGGAAAGAGGGGCCACGTTCCTTATGAAGGGTTCCTTTATGACAGGATCTCGAGTGTAGCGGGAGAAAGAGCCACTCCATGATGAAAGTGGCGCGGCGCCCCCCTCTCGTCAGCTCCGGGGCGTGTCGGCTGTGGAGCACCCGCCGGCCTTTTTTGGTGGCCTCTCGGTGCTGTCCGAGTGGCCTCTCGGTGCCTCGTCGAAGTGCGCCCCGCGCGCACCGCGGACCCCCAGGGTGTCCGCGGTCCAGTGGGCTCGCCTGCTTCGCAGTCGGCTGCTCACTGTCGGTTCGTTTCGGTCTGCGGCTGCGCGGTTGTTGCGTCGATGCGCTCCTCTTTTGCGTTGCGGCCTGTCGGCTTCGGATCAAATGCGTGGATCGACGATCGACGTGGCCAGAACGCCAAAGTGGAATGAGCTGGGACATCATTTTGTGCATCATGAATTTGCCTGCTAGCCGCGATGCCCTTGCCAGCCGCTTCGGATCATTTGTTGTTTTTGTTTCGGGCGCTCCGGCACCGCCCCGCTTAGTCCCCTCGCGTGGGCACTCTTGCGGGCACCGTCACCGTCACCGTGCCGGTCTGGTCGGTTTTCGGTTCTCTCGTCGCCGTGGCGGACGCCGATGGACCCTCTCGGGGGCATCTCGGGGCCTCTCGGGGCCACGGGGGCATTGGACGGACCACGTCGCCGAGCCTGGGCTTCGGCCAGCGGGCGTCAGCCGGGCCCATCCTCTGGGCCTCGGCCAGCGGGCGTACATACATATGGGGTCTTCTCCAGGTTCGGCCTGGGAGGAGACGTGCACCACGATCCTGGCCGGGATCAAGGTGGTCTGCCGATGACCATGACGATGACGACCATGACGAGGAGGAGGAGGAGGAGGAGGAGGAGGACGATGATGATGACGATGATGATGGCAATGACGATGGCGACGACGATGATGCTGATAATGGTGATACTGATGATGATGATGATGATGATGATCATCATGATTATGATGCTGATGATGATGCTGATGAAGATGATGATGATGATGATGATGATGATGATGATGATGATGATGATGTTGACCATGATGATGATGACGACGATGACGATGACGATGACGATGACGATGACGATGACGATGATGATGATGATGATGATGATGATGATGATGATGATGATGATGATGGTGGTGGTGGTGGTGGTGGTGGTGGTGGTGGTGGTGGTGGTAGTTGTGGTGACGATGTTGTTGATGATGCTGATGATGGTGATGATGATGCTGATGATGTATGGGGTCCCTTGGCTCGGCCAGGGAGGAGGCGTGTACAACGATCCTGGCCTGGATCGGTGAGGCGGTCAGCCCCCCGCCGATTCTTGGCACACCTTGGGGCCTCGGATCGTTTTCTGGAACGTCTTTTTTTTTGGGGGGGGGGATCCTGGAGCCGACTTCGCGAGAGGACCTCCCGCGCTGAAGCGCATCGGGAGTTCCGGCGGGTACGAGTACCTTCCATTGCGTCGCGCGCCGTGGTGGAGCAGAAAACCGTGAGTTCACGGAAGAGCTCGCTCATACGGTTATGACTAGGCGCATGAATAACAACGCCAGAGACGACGACGACCATGGCGATGAGGACAACGACGATGACCACGACGACGACGGCTACGACGACAACGACGACGACGACACCGACGACGATGATGATGATGATGATGATGATGATGATGATGATGATGATGATGATGATGATGATGATGATGACCATCATGATGATGATGGCGATGATGATGATGATGAGGATGATGATGCTTGTAGTGGTGGTGACGATGCTGCTGACGATGATGGTCATGATGAGGATGAGGATGGGTTGGTGGTGATAATGATGCTGCTGCTGATGATGATACTGTTGCTGCTGATGATGATGATGCTGATGGTGATAGTGACGACGACGATGACGATGTCGATGCCGATGACGATGCTGTTGTTGCCGATGAGGGTGATGACGTTGTTGATGCCGACGCCGGTGCCACGGGTTAAGACGATGATGTCAGCTTCGATGGCGACAGCGATGATAACTACTGTTCATGATGGCTGTGACGATGATGATGCTGCTGATGATGATGACGATGCTGATGATGTTGATGATGATGATGCTGCTGATGTTCACTATAAGGATGCTGATGCTGATGCTGATGATGATGGTGCTGATGATGATGCTGACTCTGATACTGGTACTGATGCTGAGATGCTGATGCTGCTGATGCTGATGCTGATGATGCTCATGGTGATAATGAGGAAGACGATTATGATGATGATGACGAGGATGCTGATACTTATGCTGATGAGGATGGTTATGTTACTTATGCTGGTCATGATGAGGGGCGGATGAGGACGAGGCTGACGTTGATGATGGCGGCGGAACGACGTCTAAGGCGGAGCTTCCCGATAACACTACAGTTCAATGCTGAGTCACGAGCGCAGGTCGCTGGCAAGGCGAGCGTGGATCTTGGCGGGTGAGGGGGCGGAGACGGAGGAGGCGGAGGAGACGGAGGGGGCTGAGAAGCAGGAGGAGGTGGAGGGGTTGGAAGAGAGACGGGACGAAACACGAACGCCATTCACGTACGCGGGTTTCAGCTTGTCTTGCTTCCCCCGCCATGACTCAGAACTGTGGACCCTGACTCTGCAAAACAGGCCATGCAGATAGAAGCTCTGATAAGTACAATTCCCTAACATCAGGGGTCGCCATCGACAACACTTGGGGGGCCGCCGTCCCAATCGTGAGTTGTGTCTCTCCTCCCACCTCCCTCCCTCCCCGCTCCCCTCCCGTCCCCCCCCCATCTCCCTCCCTCCCTCCCTTCCCGTCTCTCCCTTCCCTACCTTCCGTCCTTCCTGCCGCCCTTCCTTCCCTCTTTCCTCTTCTTCCTGCCTCCTCCTTCTCATTCTCCTCCTCCTGGGCGTAGTGCTGAAGACGCGGTGGCACCAGGCTGTTCAGGCCTAAGCTTCGCAGCATCATAATAAAGAAACGGGAGGAGAGATTTGGGACGGGACCACATACTATGAGCCTGTTGATCTGATCTTTGTCTAATAAAAGACAGAGCTTTGATACACGGTATCCATGCGGTCATTGTCAAGACTACGTTTAACTTTGGAGGGGCCACCGCTTGCTTCGCCTTGGGGCTCACTACGGGGCCTTCCCCTACTTCGCTAAGTCTGGGCTTCCTGCGGGGGGTATGTTCAACGATATCATGGTTCGAGTGTATAGCATTGCAGCGTTGATCGGCTTGCTGTTGATAACCCGCAGGTCGCCCGGTCTTCCTATGTCGACGATGATACAGCCATCGCATCTGACACATAACAAAACGTCCTGGCCAACATCAATCAGGCTGCTGCGTCTCTGTACATCCTG